GGTTGAATGTTTTTCCAACTGTAGAGCTAAGTGGCCGTTTTGCTAAAATACAGTACTCAAATAGATTGTGTAATTGTGGATCAGGTGCAATAGAGACCTTAGATCATCTTATGTTATTTTGCCACCAATGGATTGACCCCAGATCCTGCTGGATTACTCCTATTTTACAAAGATATCACCTCCCTATGGAACCCTGGGTGATAACCATACTATTAGCTGATGAGGACCCTGAAACGACTCGCTTGGTGGCAAAATATCTTTCAATAGTGCTATCTTTAAAGCGGCTTTGAAATGTTATTTTATTGTAAAGACGTTCTGTCTAAATTTCTTGTAATTATATGTAATGCATTTTATAGTTGCTGTTTGCATGTTTGGCTTAAGACCTCGGGTCAATGAAGCTAATAAATGAAATGGAAATGGATATTAATGAACCTAGCAAAATGTTTCCCAATAAAAACATTAATTGACACATTTTTATCAAGCTCCATTGATCTTCGAACACTGCAAACTATTTTCTTTTAAAAACAAAAGAGTCAAAGGGTTTTTTTAAAAAATTGGATCTTTCCATCTCTAGTGAAAGGTAATAATTCTCGCCTTCTCTTTTATTTTGCAGAAGTGCAGAGCTACATATTAATGAACCTAGCAAAACGTTTCCCAATAAAAACATTAACTGACACATTCTTATCAAGCTCCATTGATCTTGGAACACTGCAAACTATTTTCTTTTAAAAACAAAAGTTTTATGTGCCTCATGGACACTGCAAAACCACAAAGCCCGCTACAAGTGGAAAAAACTAACTGCACGATTGAGAGAGACTTCTGACTCTCACTGAGTTTGAAAGCAGTGAGAAAACAAATTCCAGTGACTCTGTCATTGCTCTTAGGTGAGGCCACGTATTTAACCAGTACTTTACAATGTTTATAAACAAAACCTTAAATCGGTATACACAGTGTCAAAAACAATATTTAAAGAACGTTAATCATTTAGTATGAGCACCTGTATTTTACAGATTATGATATCCCAATAGCTGTAAACTGAACTGCATTGCGCGAAATGCCTACTCCCTCAATAGATGTTTAAACATGTACCTAAACAGGGGGACCCACAAGGATTTCGCGATAAGGGCTCCTAGGGGCTGAAGTAAAAAGCTGATGGATCCCAATAGTTCTAAGGACAAGGGTGAGTAAAAAGTAGTATCCTGGCAAAAGGCAAGTTAATGTGTGCTCAGAGTCAGGACACAGGAGAGAGCAACTTGACATGATGAGACTTCATTTTGACCAAGGCCAAAGCAAGATATGTTTCAGGTGGATTTAATAAGCAAAAAAACTGGGAAGGGGGGGGTTCATAGTTTGCCCTAATCTAAAAGCCATAATGTCAATATGATGGCAAAATGAACAATTATAAGGGGGGTGGTGGTGTTTAGGGAGGTGTGTGTGCGTGTGCGTGCAGAACTCCTGTCCTTTTAAGTCTCCAGAATCTGTATGAGCTGATCAACAGCGCCATCTAGCTAGAATAGTTCATCCAATTTCAACCATCCTGCATGTCCTGTATGCCATAGTTTTTCTGCTATAAGATTATTTGCCATAAGATTATTTCTGCTAGTTACAAACAGCTCATTTTTCTAGGATAAGGTAGATAACCAACCAGGATTGGGTTTACAGTAATCGAGTTCAAGATCTATACACATAGTTGCTCTGGACAGTTAATTATACCACACACTGGCCATATATAAAATCTTTCTAACGCATATCGCTAATCTGTAGTAGTTTAAGAATGTATTAAAATGTAAACATTAATATGCTGTGCATTGACAGCCTTTGAAAAAAAATCCATTTATGTAGGTTGTAATTGGAAACAAACACAGCATCCTTCACATCACTGTGCACCAAATAAGGTATAATGAAATATATGAATAGAAGATAGAGCCTGGTTAGAACAATCAGCTGCCAGAGATGGCACATTAAATCAATCCCATTGGGTCATGTCAGAAGAAAGCTTTATTGCAGTTCAGTAAAATAAGCTACATCTGTAAAACATTTAGAATTCTGAGTTACAATTAGGAAATTAGAAAAGAAACACAGTACCTGGACTTTCTGTTTGGGTGCTGTAAACGTCAATGGCTGACCTTTTCTATATATTTGAAATTGATGCTGTATCTTAAGGGAAGTTAATAACCACCCTTTAAGTATAAAAGGAATTACAAAGCTGAGAAGTAAACATATAGCTTTCAAGTATTTTTTTTTCCAGCTCTCCAGACATCTTTAGCCATTACAACAGAAACCATATGCCAAGCAAGAGGACATTCGTGCTGAGAGGACCACTGCAGAAACAATCTGTCCACAGTCTCACACATACACACTCCACACAAAAATGAATTCTGGCATTTAAGTCATACTTAAAATATTCTGAAACTTAACATACTTTTCAAAATGAAAAGATATTTCATAAAATATTCCTCTAGATGTTTAATGTTATTTAAAATGTTATGTACCTAGAAATAATAGGTTTCCTTTTTAAAAGAACAAGCCTCTTCTACCTTTGAAGATATTAAGGAAAACAAGAACACTTAAATTATGGGATATTGATTATATTCTGGCAAGACTGTAAACAGGTTTGGTAAGAAAATAGGATGCAGTGTTTATGTGCTGTTGTAAGTCTATATATATTTAGGAGGATAAAAATGGTTTTATAGCACATTTGCAGGTATTTTGATAGCTTGTTTGGGCACTAATGATTTTGCAGACTGCAGCAATTGTGCATTATCTCACCACTGCCAAGTTAACAACATAAATTTACCCTGGCTTTGCAGAACAATTCTCACATATATTTGCTGCATGTAACCTGAATCTGTTTGTGTTCTTGAACTGCAAAAAACCCCCAAAAGTAAAGTATCAAGCACACACAGTGAGATTATAATAACCCCCCCCAAAAAAAGTAAACTATCAAGCACACACAGTGAGATTATAATAGAACATTAAAAATGTTGGGGTTACATTGCTATTGCCACAAATTCAGGGACTGTTATATTTTTCTGAGGACACTGGAGAGGATAGCTCATTAACATATTTTGCATTTAATCCTTTCAGGCACAGCTTTACTGGTAGGGTTGGTGCAAAAAATACCTCTTCAAAGCACATAAAAATTCTCAGTTGGAATATAGCTGGCTGGAATAAAGCCATGTTAGATCCTGAAACCTTTTCTCTACTGGTAAAACTGACTGTATTATGATACAGGAGTCCTGGCTACGCGACTCCTGTGACCTAACTGGTTATAACTCCTTTTTTCTACCCACTGAAGAATTAAAAGGATGCCCTCAAGGAGGGTTACTTTGTTTTATTTCCAGTAATCTGGGCAAATTGTCCCTTCTCCCTCCCTGTCCAACAAACCTAGCCATGGCAGTGAAGACAGCCACCAGTTCCAAAGAGAGCTTGCTGGTAAATGTCTACCTTCCCCAAAAAACATCAAAAGCAGACATTGATATTCAGTGGACGATCTTAGAGGAATATCTGCTAGATCTACAAAGTAGCCACCCACAAGCTCTTATGATAATAGGGGGGGGGAGAGACTTCAATGCAAGAATTGGCTCAAATGATAATGAACTGCTCCACTCCAAATTCTGGAAAGAAAACTTCTGCTATCACAACACCACAGAAGGAACGTGCCATTCTAAAGATAAAGGTATCAAGAGATCGGGAGCCAATCTGGTGAACATGGTCTCCAGACTGTCACCAACGATTTTAAATGGAAACGGCACTGTCGATCCTTTTGGAGACTTTACATTTGTTTCCTCACAAGGAGCTAGCGTTATTGATTACTTCCTGATTGAAGACTCCAGCCTTCGAAAAGTATGGGAGTTCAAAGTAAGTGACCTGGGAACAAGTGGTCATTTCCCCATTTGCATCAAAGTATCACTAGAGGCCATGCCAAATTTGAGTACTGGCCAAATTGGATCTAAGGCACCGCCCACTAAGTGGAGGTGGTCCAAAGGACTGGCTGAAGCTGCTATAAAAATACTCCACACTGAGTAAGCACAAAAACTAAAAGAGAAAATCCTGACAGAACAAGACTGCCACACAACTCTGGAAAAAATGTCAGTGCTCATTACACTTTTTGACCCAGTTCTATTAAATAGTGGAAGAGGAAAAGGAAAGTCAAGCAAACCTGGCTGCCATGTGAAAAGTTGGTTCGACAGAGACTGTAGGATGGCCAAAAATCGAATTAAGATCATCACAGCCGCTAAAGAGAAACCTAGTACATCTCTCTGGCACCTAATTACTCCAATGCTGAAGCTAAGAAGAAATACTGCAACTCCCATATCAGCAATGGTCTGGGAAAAGTATTTCGGAAAGCTTTCTAGAAAGCATAACCTTGAACCAGACCTAAACTTTGAAATCAATCTTAAACAAACTCCAAAATGGAAACCTGTCACCTGTTGCGAGATAATAAATTGATTAAAAATTTAAAACTGAGAAAATCTCCTGGTCTTGATCCATTTCCCGCAGAACTACTAAATATCTGGCACCTTGATTGTGTATGAAAAAGCCTAAACAGATTTTAAACACATGTGGAAAGATAGAAGCAGCACCATCAAACTAACGAATGCATTATAGCAACACTAAAAGTGTTGATATTTTTGCCTCCTTAATACAAATTATGGAAATAAAGCACCACTCAAACTACCACTCGTTATTCAAGATTTCAAAGATAACGCTGAAGTAAAGCTAGCCACAATGTATGGTCATATAATTTTCGTCTTCAGTTGAAGTAATAAACTGTGCCAGCTATAATCAAGGGAATGTTTTATCTTGTACAGATACCCAATATAGAACTTGTAAGATTAAGGAATGTGAAGCTGCAACAGTGAATTTATCCAGTGTATTTCCCACAATTGGCCCCAACTGAGGTACAAAATAAAGGTATACAAACAAGAATTTCTTAATGTATAAAAAAATCAACACAAGAAAGTAAAAATAGTAAAATTTAATACATACATGTGCTATACTTTTAAGTTATTGGAATAAAAATGACCACAAAATGTAGGAAATAAAGAATAATGCTACATGTTGGAGAAATTGACAATTGAAAACTTATCACCACTCCTTATGTTAAAGAGCCTAGTTGTTGAGATAATGTTTATACAGTGATGGCAGAGACTTAAAACCCTGTACAGAACATCTTAGTGTTTCCTCAGTTAGGTATGCATCTCCTAGGGACAAGAACAGTTAGTTGCTTCTAGGCATTCACTAGATTTTACAATTGGGGTTTTTTACTATTGTAAAAGTCAACAAATTCTGAACACTATGAGGGTAAGCGATTTTTACACAACATTTACAAGCATCCAAGAAATGCAGCCTTTTAATTAAACACAAGAATTAGCAAATGAGCACTCAAGCATTTCAAACCAAGATCTTTCATATGTTCTTCTGTCTGTGTTTTGATGTTACCAACAGAAAGTCTTGAAACCCTGACGTAACATTAGGCTGAGGAGCAGCATAGGCAAGTCACGGTAATACTGACCTCACTCACACCCAACCCCACATATTTGCACCAGCATGTGCCTGTGATGTTAAAAAGCTGTGCCAGCATTGGAGTGAATTGTGAACCTGTTGCTGTGTCCCATTCGAAGCACTTGCGTGCTGTTGCAGTAAACTTGGGATTAGACAGTTAGTTACTAGATTAACTATATTTGGGCTTTAAAATTATTACTTTAGGATCTATCAATTAAAAGGTTATCACATATAAACAAGTTAGGTTCAAAAGGCAGATCCACACTGAAACATACTTTGCTAACCAAGACTCTTACTTTGGGCCTTTTATTTAGGGTGGCTGCGCTCTAGATTCCCAGATTGAACACACAATGGACATGTAACAGCCTGTTAAGTATATTGAATGTTTTAAAGACAAAAACATTACAACATGATTAAAAGTTAAATAAATATGTGTCAGTTAAAAACACACTTATATATTTTTTTCTGTGCAATTTCATACCCTATGAAAAAATATCACCAATCTCTGCACCTCTGCGTGGTTCATTCCTCCAAAGGTCTGCTGAAAAATAATACTGACAAGAAAAAAAAGCATTTACTGACAAATTCAGTGCTTCAAGGCTAAAAAAACAATATTTGCATTTTTAGTTCTTGCAGCACAGCAGTGACTGAACACAGAAAAGCAGTGATGATAATGTTAATATAACAAAACATTAATTTTAAAATTGCTGAATGAGCTTTTGCAGAAATGGAATGTGTGCATTATACTTTGTGACGTACAGTCTGAAGGCAAGTTCAGAGAATGCCAAGAGCCTCACTGCACCATTTTCTATGGCAAGGAAATATTGCAGCTTTAAAATAAGCTACACAATACTTATTATCTAACTCTTTCACATGAAAGGTTTAAAAGCAAATCAGCAAATAAACTCTAAAATCAATTAATAGGAATATTTCCCCTTCTATACACTGGGGTTTACAGCTTCCGTTTCTCCACATTCTATTTGGAGCTTCCTTCCAGAAGAGTAGTGTTGAATGATGTGAAGTTCTGGAGTTCGCAATGCAATGTATTAACAGATAAAATCTTTGCATACTAATAAAAATTTGTTGCTTGTTGCTTTTTATGGTGCTTGCAGAGAGGCGGGTCAGATGTCGATTCCTTTAACAAGGGATGCCTCCAATGTGATGTTGAACTCCTGTAAGGTCTGCAGTACCCGGATCAAGGAGTTCACTAGGGTGTGATCCTTTATCAGTGCTGTGTCCTCATACATCTGGGCCGTGATGGAGCAGTCTGCCAACAAAGCAATCCAGTGGTGCAATAGGTGATCTCTGTAAGGGAGAGTTTTATGTAACAGAGAGGTTACAATAGTCGTACTACAAACTGGTCAGCAATGCAAATGCTGGCATTAGATGGAATCACATTTTTCTTAAAAGACTCAAGTTTTCACCCTGGTGATAAACTTGGATTTGCCCTTGCTACTAAAACTTATTAACCAGCTGTGCCCACTGCTAGAATACAGCTACTGTCGTAAATGCCTTGGTGACTTCCAAATTAAACTACTGAAGTGTACTTTTCTTGGGGCTGCCCTTAGCGACTGAATGCTCCAACATTTGTATCTGCTCCTTACGTGCTGCTGGGCACAAGTTAAGATGTTCTTTTTGACTTTTAAAACCTCAACCTACAGTACCTTCGGGAGCATTTTCTCCATGGGAACTCGATTCAGAAGTGCTGCAGGGACCGAATTTGGATTGGTACCACAGCACAGAGAGAGGAGAAGGGCTCCTGTTTTCCACCTGTACCTGTTTTCGTCCCAAAATGGCCTCAGGTGGTATTACTCGCCCAGGGAACTTCACATACAAGCATTCAGTGCATATGCAGCCCCACAATAGGGCAAACAATGCCCCCTTGGTTCAGGTTAGGGAAATGGTAGAGAGGGAAGTCAGGAGCTCCTCCTCCTCCCAGGACTGCAGTCCCAGTCTGAACCTGGCCCCTACAGTGCTTCTGAATTTCAGTTCCTACTGGAAACTGACAGCTGGCATATGGCTGCAAGCCCCCGCGATGATCACATGGTAGATGAGACGTGTGCAGTGTGGATCCTAGATGGCCCCCTGCCACTTGCTGAGATTTACGTGAGGCTGTGCTCCAGTTTCAGCACATGTGGATGCTGTCATAACTGCCTCTTTGGTTCCCAGCCACTCTCTGCTGCTGAGGTTTGTTGAGAACCAAGGGGTGCTTTAAAAAACCCTTTTCTTCCCAACCTCCTGCCCCTGGGATCATTACTCCAGCAGGTAGCTACCAACACCTTTATACTGGCTCTCTTGTATACTAGGAATTTAGGGGAGGGGTATTCATAAGGGTTAGCCTGGAGCTTTTGTGGGCTTCTGTTCCCTCTCTCTCCCCCACATCAGCTCTTCTGTTCAGAACTAGCAGAGTTTGGCTACTATAAGCATGGGCAACCTGATTAAATGTGTGTGGGCTTCTACATAATCAGTTTACGCTCAAAATCATGAGTAAAATAACTTTAATAATTAAACATAAATCATAGAAGGCATAGATAACTGGGAACAATCAGCAGACAGACAAGTTAGACAAAATACTGGTAAAGGTTATCTTGATAATTAATCCTATTATTTACAGTCTCTCAACAGTCCCCTCCTGGGAATGGGTCTAAGACCAAGCATCTTGGCACAGTCTGACAGGGCCTGTCAGAGTTTGGACTCCAGGTCTTGACAACAACAATCTCCAGGCTAACAATTTTATAGATTTTTCTGCAGCCTTGAGACCCACCCACCCCAACTCAATTAGATATTAAGGGTGCAGGGTTCAGAGTTTCCCTCCACGCATGCTTTTTACCAGTCACTTAAAAGATCTGGATAATAGAGGTTAAGGCACCACTGAGGGAAATTAGAAATAATCCATCACAGCTCCTTTGATAGGTCAGGCAATTGGTGAGATGAACCCTGGATTCAAATCTATTCTTAGCTCCACCAATCACCGTATACCCATCCCAGCCTTCCTGGGATGCAACTTTAGGATCTAATGACCTCCACCCCACATTTAAGCCTGTGTTAATTTAAGTATATTTACCCTTTCTTAAGAGATGCAAGACTAGCACCCACTAGAAAGAAGGGTTTACTTCTTTACAGTTATCTCAATATTATTGAGCTACCACCACCCCCCGACTCTTCTTGCTTCTTCATTTAGGGGGAAGGCAATAAAAGTATTATTCTCTCAAGCTTTTTGAAATGTAACCAGTAACTGCAGTTTTAATTATTGTTGTAACACATTTAGATTTGTCTGATAAGGTATTCTTTTAATCTGCTCATTTTAAGGTGTTTTTTCTTTCTTTCTGGTAAACTGCTTTAGCTTTCCTGGCTAAAGGTAAAGTTTCCCTTGCTCGAAAGCCAGTCGAGTCCAACTCTAGGGTTGTGGTGCTCATCTCCACTTCAACGCCAAAGAGCCAGCGCTGTCCGAAGACGTTTCGGTGGTCATGTGGTTGGGTTGGTAGGAGCTGGAACTAAAGACAGAAGCTCACTCTGTCATGCGGCACACTCGGGTCTCGAACTACCGACCTTCCACAGCCTGCAGTTCAGCGTCTTAACCACTTGAGCCACCGCAGCTCCACTTTCCTTCCTGGCTAAAGCTAGTATATAAACAATGTTAAAGTAGTATATAAATAATACACATAAAATTCCAAAATAAGGTATTGAGGCACCTCTCCCTTGCCATGGAACCTCCACGGTACCTCCACAGGACCTCCATAGGAGGTCTGATCACGTAACTGCGCAGTAGTTTGCCCCAGGGCAAACAGGCACGCTTCTCCTCTGCAGTTTCCTGCCCGTGTGACCGGGGCCTCAATAAGGTATTTGTAAGATAATACGTTTCTCAGTATCCTGTATTCACTTGATGTGTGGCGTTTCTCCACACATCAAGTGAATGGCTTCCAACTGGAGGACCTTCGCTAATTATTGTTGTCCAGTAGAAGATCGATATAGGAGGACATCCTCTCCCATAAAAATAACTGATAACCAACCATTTTTACAGCACAATTGCCAATTCTTAAATTGAGGGCAGAAGAGGCATAGGCCTTTCTGCTCATGGCATCAATTTTCTGGCCCTCCTTGTCGGCAGGGGACAAGTGGGATTTAGCCATTCTGATGATCTGTTCAGTGTACAGATCCTTGTTAGGTGATATTGGATCCATGCTTCCCACCATTTCATCCAGGGATGGATCAGATGGTTGACCAAAGCTCTGTTCCAATGGGAAAGCTGCACCCTCATCCTCCAAGTCAGAAAAGGTCAGTGGAGCCTGTTTGGGAGGTGGAGCAGAGACAGTCCAGCTAGGCACTGAGGTATGGATACAAGGCCCAGAAGGATGAACAGATTTGGTTCTGGATGGCCTGGGGAAATTGCCCCATTCCTGCAGGAATGAGGATGGGTAATAAAAAGGATATTACTGCCAAAGTGATGGTGGAACCACAAAGGGCCAAGGAGCCAATTGTGTGCGTTCTGAAACTGAAATCAAATCTGTAGGAACAAGTGGTCAGAAGCCGGGAGCTGCTTCCATCTCCCCTCCAGATGCTAAGGGAGCCAAAGACTGTAAGTGCAATGATGGTGTTCTAGGAGGCGGTGAGTCCTCTGAAGCAGGTGCTGGAACCGACAAGGTCCTAATGGTTGGAACCGATGGGTGTCTTAGGTGAAGAGAATCTAGGAACTGATTGATTGCTTCTCCTGGTGATTGGTCTTGGCCTTAGCCTTCTTAGGGGAAGGCTCCAATGCAGAGATCTTGGCCTTCTTAGGGGAAGGCTCCAATGCAGAAAAAGAACGATCAGGCAACTTGGATCGGTGTCTGGTCGGAGCCAACCTCAGGCCCGATAGAACCGAAGATACCGACAGCAAGCCCGACAGCTGACTGGTTAAGCCTGGTAACTTACTGGGGAGGGTCTCCAGCCACTATACCATGGCAGAAGATTTTGCTGCTGGGCTCTCGGAGCATGTTAAGGCTTTCTCCTAAAGGCTAGCTTTTAATCTGGCTGCTCTATCTAGCCATGCCTTCAAAGTTAACTCAAGATGATGCTTGCAATTGCTGGTGTTATGCCCCCCACCAAGGCATTGAAGACAGAGAGAATACCCATCAGAGACATGTAAATCTGTTCTGAATCTAATGAAGTTCTCCCCCTCCCCCGCCTTTCCAGGGAAGACTACTATATATTTTTCCTAATGTCTAAATACTTTGATTTCTGATCTCAAGTTGTTATTTTCAATTTGCAGCCACAGGCTCATGCTTATAGCATTCTTGACTTGAAACAGTTCATCCTCCTCTTCTGTATTACGCCTCGTTACATTTATAGATATTTTCTCTCACCCTCCTTTTTTTTTTTTAGCTCAGTTCTCATTTCTTGTGATTGTTTTAGTTGCTGGTCTATCTTCAAGCTTCCATAATCTCACAGATTAAGTCTGAAAATATGTAATTTGGTAAAGCATTCCAAATCTGACTATCACAACAAAGACAAAGAAAACTAATCAATGCGAAAGCAATTTGGTCGGTTGGCTAACATGCAACATGTCTACAAACTAATCAAAGTATACTTTAATACCTGGCTCCAAGGCATACCAACATCTGAAACTTGCCATCCTTCCCAATGTTCCTTGGAGTGTTATTGATGGCTGTGACAAAGCGACAAAAACTCCTGGCTCTTGTTTGCCAGTTTTCCTCTGGGACCAGTTCATTTTGATCTAGAGCTTCATAATATCCTTGTGCTTTTTCTGAAGACATAAACATATAGTCATAGAAAACAATACTCTCAGCTGTTTACAATGCTAAAAATTTGCTCCAATTCACACACACGGGTTGCAGTTTAATCACGATACTGTCAAAGCAGAAGCATCTTGTCACCTACTTTCTATAAAACTAGCCTAAAATTTACGATGCCAATAAATGGATCCAATGTATAAGTACTATGAGGTACTCCCATCTCTGAAAGAACTGATCATTGCTATCTTGTAAAACGAGTATCCATTTATTTATTCCCTTGATTTACTCTGTTTCATGTGGCTCAAACAGAGTTTTTCCATGCGTTATTTCTGTCAGTTGTATTCTTGTAATGTATTGTGAGTTTCCCCCCCTTTTCCAGAAACCCCACCCCCGACACAACCGATGGAAATAACACATGCAGAAAAACCCATACTTAGAAAAGACAGCATTTTAACAGATGTTTCTCTAAGGCTGTTTTGATAAACTTTAAGAGCCAAACTGGATACATGCAACAGTGGCAGATCCATTTGTTTAAACAAAAACCGCAACATGTTTGGGACAAAGGGATGGGGGATGAGATTTAACTGGCAAAGTTACCTTACCCACCCTACCCCAGCTCCCTAACCTCCATGTAGCCTTGGTCTCTGAGATGGTAATTTCTCTGCTGAACACCATGCTATTAGCTGAGAAGGTAAACTCTTTCCAGGCAGACATATTGTGGGAAAGGCTTATCATATATTTTTTCAAAGTACTGAATCTGAACTGTGTTTAACACAAATGAATCGGCACATTCACATCTAGTTTGACCATAAACCCTTTCAATACTTGAAGCTATATATTGACTACTTCATTTCACAAGAAAAAGAATTTGCTAACTCTATCTTAAACAGTCAAACATTTTGCTCTCCTGCTAAAAATGTGTTCTTCAGGTTAATTTTCATGCAGGGCCGGCCCATTATTGTTAAATTTTAGACTGTTGCCTAGGGCGACGGCTCAAAGAGGGTGCCATTCTGACCGGCCTCGTCCTCTCCTCGCCCAGGACAGGAAGCCTCCCTTGCCAACTTCTTGCTCCGTCCCCGGCAAGGGACTCCCTTCTTTGCAGCTCCCCAGACAGAACATAAGAACATAAGAGACGCCAATGTTGGATCAGGCCAAAGGCCCATCCAGTCCAACACTCTGTGTCACACAGTGGCCAGAAATACCAGGTGCCATCAGGAGGTCCAGCAGTGGGGCCAGGACATTAGAAGCCCTCCCACTGTTGTTGACCCCCCCAAGCACCAAGAAGACAGAGCATCACTTGCCCCAGAGCCCCTATCTATACCTTGTGGCTAATAGCCACTGATGGACATCAAATAAGAGAAGGAGGCGGGGGGGGGGACAGGCACGGGGAATAGCCCAGGACGATGGGAAAGTGCCGCTTGCCCTCTGCCGCCCCTGCAGTCTCTTTGGAGCTCCTTTTGCAGCCTGGCACAGGCCCCCTCCTCTTGAGTGATCCCGCCCCCCCCCACGCATTTGCAGCTCGCCCCCTCAGCCCGCCTGCTGCGGCTCCGGCACCTTTTCCCGTTCCGCCCCTCACGGGGGGGGGGGGCAGAATGTATCCTCGCCTAGTGGGCGAAAAAACCTGGGGCCGTCACCGTTTTCATGTTAATTTTCATGTGAATAGAGAATCCATATTTTAGGAAGATGCAAGACAGATTAAAAGGACAAATCTTCTATCGGTAGTAAACAAGAGATAGCAATCTGCTACAATCAGTGTTTCCTCCAGTAACAACAGCTAAATAGATACCTGTTCTATGTACTTACCTAGAAAGTCCCAAATAAAAACATTTTTGAAGAGCCTGGGTGATTTAAATCCATGCTGAAACACTTGCTCAAGAGCTGAGACAAGCCCACCTTCTCCACAAAGTAAAAGCGTCAAACTGCCTCTCTGCCAATATTAAAAATGTTTTATTTTTTGTGATGTCTGTTTCAGTTGTATTATGAATATATTTGCCACAAATTACAGCTAGGTTTTTATAAAAATTAAGAACACACACAATATTATATATCTGCCCTAGACCCTACCAAGTTAATACCAGTACACAACTATGCAGAGTATTGTGTAGTGGTTTGAGCATCACACTAGGACTGGGAAGAACTAGATTCAAATCCGCATTCAGTCATAAAACAAACTGGATGACATTGGACCAGTCATGTACTCTTAGACTAGCCTAACTTAAAGAGTTGTGGGATTGAGTCAGTACCTATCTATCAGTTAGCGGTTTTCATCAGAAAAAGACCCAAGAATAAATCTGAAATAGCAGCCCCAGGTCAGGATTTTATGGAGTAAATGTCAATAATTCATCAACCTTATTTAGAGGAACTAAAATAAAAATCACAGATGATTCTCACAGTACTGAGATATTACTTCATATCAGGAAAAATGGGGTGGGGGTGTCTGAAGAAGTTTCAAATGGACTATTCTCACCTTTGAGATCAAAGAGGACAGAGTTCACGCAGCAATTACATTGTTTGGATCAGATGTAATGCTAAGGCCTTGTTTGGATATAGTGCTGGAACCTTAACCACAGTAAAGGGATTTTTAGAAGTTTTGCAGAGTTTGGGGATCAGGAGTGCCCTTGTGAGAATTCCCCTGTCCCTCTCTACCGAAGTTCAGTGTTAGATGGACCTGCTGATTTTTATTTTTTTTGCCGTGAAGTCACAGTTGACTTACAGCGACCCCTCATGGGATTTCCAAGGCAAGAGATGTTCAAAGGTGGTTTGGCATTGCACGCCTCTGCGTCATGACTCTGGTATTGCTTAGTGGTCTCCCATCCAAATACTAGCCAGGGTCAACCCTGCTTAGCTGCTGAGATCTGACAAGATAGGCCTAGCCTGGGCATTCAGGTCAGGTCACTGCTGATTTTACATTATTTAAAATAAACCCAACTATGGATTCTAAACTCACTTGAGAACCTTGATTAAAACTTGGCATGAAGCTACTGAAAAACAGGGCCTTGGATTAAAAACACCACTAATGGTGCTCTATTATCCACATGAGACTTTTTCGCTTCCCCCCACATTCCCCTATACCTAACAAGAAATCATCTTACAGGCCAGGGGACCCTCAGGAATGGTGTGAGAAGTGGCAGAGTGTTTCTGTGAGAAAGAAAAACAACATCTGCACTGATGGAAGAGAAAGCACTTTTGCCCTCTTCATCCTCATTACTTTAGCCCACCAGTCCACAGGGGTTTTGTTCAATACACATTCTGCAATCATAGGAATCAACTTTCTCAGAGCCGGAATGGACTACTGGGACAGGGAAAAGTGGGAAGAGCCGCAATCTGTGTGTGAAGATCTCTGATCAGTGTGTGAGTGGAATACTGAATTCAACCCACAGATTCATTTGTTAATTGCACAAGCACACCTTCTCCTGAACTTATTCTAGTCAATTACAGCTATGACCATGGATATCAGAAAAAGAAATATCCTGTTTTTACAAGCACTTCAATTCTTACCTCTTTCTCAGGCTTGTGAAAATGTTTGACAATTCCATTTACGGCTTCACCAATAGATTCTTGTATCTGACCTGTGTTTAACTCTGCACAAATAAAAAAAAATGTGTTAGCTTAAACTGAATTCAATTCATACACAAAAAATCAGGATTAAATTATCTTTTGAGATCGGGGTAGGGGAAATGTGCTATGTTATTTTATATGTTGTGTTCTGTTCTACAATAAGTTTACATTACTACAGCTGGCCTGTATTTTTTTTTTATTTTTTTTATTTTAAGCATGCACAATGTTTTGGTTCGATCACCAAGTGGGTATATAGGAAACTGTATTGGAGCTAGGGCTGCCAAGTGGGGGCGGGTAAACCCCCGCTTTGGAGGCCCGATTTCTGCCACCGCAGAATCGGGCCCCGCGGGGAACCCCGCCCCCCGAAGCGCAGCGTGGCTGCGTCACAGGAAGTGACGCAACCATGTAGATCACTCTATGGTTTTCCCTCCAACGATTGGGGCCACGCCCCCAACGTGATCTATGTCGTGCGTCACTTACTGTGACGTTCTGGCGGCGCGCGTGCTTTTCGCTTGCGCATCCATCAGCAGCTCCCAGACCCTGGCGACGCTCCCCCGCCGGTGAGTCCGAGTGACTTGGCAACCCTAATTGGAGCTACTGTATTTGAAGATGAGATACCACCACAACTGGGAGCACTCTTAGCTAGTTAAACAAAAATATCTCCAATAAGACAGCATCAGAACATTTAGAACCCTACAGCACAGCTGCATCTAATCAGCAAATTGGTAGTTTTCACCAGCTAAGAGGTATACTATTCCTCCTGTCTCCTGGATTAGTCAGTTGTGCTGAGACTTATGAACAAACTGTCATGTAGGATGCATCAGTAATACATTTAAAGAGCCATGGGGAGTTCCTACTGGTGAAAGATAATTATAATAAGTCCAACTTACTTGGTTTGTTGTTTGGTGATATAGTAACAAATCTTCTGATCATGCTTGGGGACTGCTGCAAAGGAGGGGTTCTGCACTGTCTTTCATCCACCTCCGTGTGGGATGTCAGCAATTCTCCCACCAGAATCCTCTCCAAACTGCCATCATCCATCCCTTTTCCAAGCCACCTCCCACATGGAAACCTACCAACACAAGAAAGTAAGAGAAAAAGAAGAGTCACGTAGGGGCATATTTCACATTCAGAATTTATAAAAGAGGACATTACACGTGACTAAGTAAACATGAATTTTCCTCTATCATTCGGGCAAACTCCTTTTATTTCTTCATCAATGAAGAGAAGAAGAAGAGAAGAGATTGGATTTACACCCCGCCCTTCACTACCCGAAGGTGTCTCAGAGCGGCTTACAAACTCCTTTCCTTCCCCCTCCCCACAACAGGCACCCTGTGAGGTGGGTGGGGCTGAGAGAACTCTGACAGAAACTGCTCTTTTTCAAGGACAGCTGTGCCAGAGCTTGTGACTGACCCAAGGTCACATCAGCAGGTGCAAGTGGAGGAGTGGGGAATCAAACCCGGTTCTCCCAGATTAGAGT